GTACCTGTCACAATTGCGTAATCTAGAGGTAATGATACGAAACAACTTACTTACTCGCTCGAGTCTTATCGCACGAATGACAACCACGATTAGTACAGGTCAACTCTTTGATTTTTAGCCAGAGAGGAATTCCAGTTTTTTTTAATGAATCTTCAGGATTTCCGGAATTCTAGATGAATAAAATCTTTGATTAACGCTGTTCTAAATTTCTAAATTTTTTTTAATTTCACGCTCTCGGAATCTTTGGATAAATCATCTCTCGCTAAATCATCTCTCTAAACTTAATTATTCAATCACTGTAATCATTAAATGTATCGTCAAATTTTATAAAATTAGTATTGATAGACCTCCCACAATTTGGTTTTTGTTTTGTACTTGACTGACCAATTATGTGCCAATGTATAATGTATCAAAAATATAATTTATAAGAGGATATTTCGGGGAACGTTTGATCTTTTATTCTGTTGCTGAAAATGACTCAAAGTCGAAACGTAATTTCAAGTAATTTCAAGAAAGAACATTTTTGCACAAATTATTTAACGCTCCAATTACCACTTTAACTAAAACTCTCATTTTACGTTTTAATTGTTTACAATTTCGAGAGTGTTTTTGAATTTACTTACTTTTTTCGAAATAAATGTATCGATTTTTTTCTCCGGTTTCCAAGAGAAATCTCGGGAAGGCCAAATATGATAATCTCTCTTTTAAAAAGAGCGCCCAGACTATTACAAAAAAGTAACAATTTCGGCAATGATAATCGGTTTCTAGCAGGAAATACTAGTTGAAAACCGTAAACAACGATAAATGCTTGATTTTACAATAACACACGATATGTACATCATTAAATAAATATCAAGAATGTATTGTTTATCAGATTAATTACTAATAATCGAATTTTAATTATTAATATATTCCTTCAATAATTATTAATATCTTTACAGAATCTTTAATTACTAATAATCAATGTAACATGGTTACTTGAATAACGACTCGATTTGAATAATAGAGAATATATGCAAATTAGATCGAAAAGTTTAATAAAGAAAATTATATTTCAAATATAGACATTAAGAAAATATCGTCGTCCATAAATCTTAGAGTGAAACAATTTATAATTGCAATTTTCTATCGGTACAATTTATATTTTAAATGAATAAATCGCATGTCAAATGTTTACTTAGATAATCGTCTTGTCGGCACAGCTGTTAGTCGTATTAATTAAGCGAGTTTATTATTTGATTCGTATTCACGTTGTAATTATTTGCAAGGGATAATCGGGTTTCGAGAGATAATAATACACCGAGCGGATTGCATCGTTGCACTTGCCTGCTGGAATATCGCCGCACGAATGACACAAGGTAATCGCGTGTAAACAATGAGCCATATGATACGAAGGATATATACTATCATATATACTATCATATATACTAGGCAATCCGTTAACTACGAAATTTTTAACATTTTCATATAAATGTCTGTTCCTTGGATTTTAAATTTCTGATTCACCAATTATCGTGCATTAATATCTATGTTTGTTTGAAGAATAAGAATCAGTTTGATTGTAAAATTACGTTAATTATTACTAGATAAAATACTAATTTATTACTATATGAAATAATAGAATTTATTGTCAACTTTTGCTAAATTTTTTTTACGAAAGAAATAATATTGCGAGATGTTAATAAACTGAGGACTTTTTTGCAATTTTAATAAATAAAAAAAAATGAAATAATGTCACCGTGAAAAATATATGTGATGCATGTTTTCTAACCTTATTAAAATCACGCAATTTCATTATTCTGGTGACATAAAAATTCGACAAAGAAAGTAATAATAATAAATTATAATCACTATTTTTTACATAAAATGAAAATAAATTTTACATTTTATATTTAAATTTGTAGATATATTATTTTAAAAATAATTAAATAGAATAATTATTTCATTTATTATATATTTAAATTTTTATTATAGACATTATTAAATAATTTGCAAGTAAAAGAGTTTATTTATTAAAATTTATTGTTAATAATCATGTTAATATTTGCTGATTATTATGTATATAATATTTATTATACATAAAATATCAAAAGATAAAGTCAGTCAAACGATAAAAATCAATATCATCTGAACTATGAAAATCAACAACAGACAGATCGGCACGTGTATAAACATTGTTAAGGACATCGATATGCGCATTTTACGCGATATTCTTTTGTCAACTTTCGTTTAAAATTAAAAAACGATGTCGTTTTAATATTCATGTATTAATATTCAATAATTAAATCACACGACATAATGTACCCTTACACGATAAGAATATTTAAAAATTTAGCTAGATACGGATCTAAAAATAATTTTGTTGGATTATCAAAATAATTATGTAGGACGCTCAAACTGCCTGTTAGAACGTCAAAACTTTTTGCAAAACGTTATCATTAATAATACTTAAGCGTTCTACGTAATCATTCTAATGGCCTAACGAAATTATTTTCAGATCTGTATCTAGCTACATTTTTACTTAAGCAAACTATTCTTTTCGTGAATATTTGCTCTTTAATTTTTATCCTCAACGTTAGAATTGTACGTCTGTTTTTATTTATTTAAAACTGCTCCAGTTCTTGATTTTTTTTTTATTTTCGAATGATATACATAATACAGTCACAACTACAGATAGGATTCTCGTTACAAATTTAAGAGGAAATACATTAAGAGGAAGTGCAATGTTTTGACGATCATTTTTTAAACATTTTCTCACTCGATTCGACGAGCGTGCAAGACGGTGCGACGTAAGCTTTTCGCGAATTTCTCACGCGCAGTTAAACAACGGCGGAGTACGGCGAATAATTTACCGCGTGTCCAGTTTTCAGCGAATCAGCGGTAATGCCCGATGCACGCGAAATCGCGAATTCTCTTCTGGCAACAATGACGGCAAATGATTCACGCATTTCCGCGTGAATCTATTATCGCTGCCGAGTATCGTCGTCTGGCGTTTACGACATGCGTGCCGGCGTTTATGCCGTGTAGACACAGGCATTGTGGCGTAGCAACGCGAACGCAAGCGCACGATATACATTTTTATACACAAGTGCAGTAATGCCTATAATTTGTACATTTGCTTAGTGCAATTACCGGCGGTGAGCGTAACAGTATCTTAAAGTGAGCACTTGAAGTGAAGGGCAGCCGACTCGCCAGATATAATTGTTTCGTATATATCATTACGCTTGTAATATGTCATCTGTATTTTTTTTTTTCTAACGAAGGTCGCGTTTGCGTTACAACGAAAAGAAAAGAAAAATTGCTACCGTTACGTTCGACAATTACTTGCCAGTAACTGCGCGAAACGTTTAACTTTATCGTTTGGTAGTGGAATTTCGACGTGATTGAGATCATATCGGTACGTCGAACATTGAAGATCACAACCCACCCAATTTATCCTTTTTATATCTCGAAAGGAGATATCGTGACGAATAACGGCTTTCTCTTTGCTCTAGTTGAGTAGAACTACAGTCATAACTCGAGAAGGATGACGTCGCGCGTATTGTACAAGGTGTGCTGAAAAAAAAAATCGTAGTTCTTCTTTTCTATTAGTCGTAACTTTTGCCATAAATTTTGTATTAATCTTTGTCTAGTGAATATTCGCGATCGGATGCTATCATGAGTTTTCTCGACTTTTAAGAAGTTAAATATCTATATAATCCAGCTTTCAATCAAAATTATATGACGAGTAGTCAAAGTATATTTCAAGTTAAATGTTTCTCAAAAAGATATATAGCAAATCATTTTACGTTAGTTTTATGAGCGTGTTTCAAACTTTTGTAATTAAAAAAGATATCGACAAAATATCACATAAAAAAATCAGAAGTCTTGATGTTGTTTATACGGAAAAATTTATTTTGCTAACATTAAGCTGAATACAGATCTAAAAATAATTTTAAACCATCAAAATAATTATGTAGAAAACTTAAGACAAATGCTATAAAAAGTTTTAATGTTTCAGCTTGAGCACAGTTATTTTGATAATTCAATCAACAATATTATTTTCAGATCTGTAACTAACTAAATTTTTAGATAGCAAAACCATTTTTTCTGTATAGCATTTATTAGTATTTATAATTTAAAGAGAATGTGCAAGTTCTGATACACCTTGTATAAAGAATGAGACATGCGTTACGGTGGTCAGACTATCTACGTGTACAGTTCCACGTGAGCGATGCGTACAAACAATGACATAGCTGAGATATACAAAGAAAAACTTACGTTCTGGAAATCGTCCGTGGGAATATGGATAGTCGAGTCGTTTCCTCATGCTTCTTAGATACCTGAGAAAACAATGATACCGATCTTTGTAGTGCATATTATACATGCAATGTCGCATTTATTATTAGAGTTCATTAGAACATCAATCATTAGACTAATTACGAAATGGATGTGATGCCACATCTTACGATTTAATGAAATCCAGTCATTATGAAGTTATTATAGATTTGCAATTGTCAATTTAGGTCGTAAGAGAATCTAAAAAATGATGGATTTCTAGCTTATTATTCTTGAAGAATATCGTGGCATTATATATAAATCACGTCATAATACATATATCATTGTGTGCTTTCTTTTTATATAGAAAAAAATATTTTACAGTCAAAAAAATGAGAAAGTACAAACTCATTAATTTTTTCTAGATCTTCTAACATATCACATTGGCTGCGTTTAGCAGAGAAAACTGAACGCTCAGTGATTTTTTAATGTAATTGATTTCTACATTTAGATTCAGTAAAGAATTAAAGGCAAGAACAAATCATAAAGAATCACTGACTGTTCACTGATCAATTTTCTCTACTGAACACAGCCATTCTATCTTGTTTAATTAAAGTTACTTACAATTAATTATGGAAATTTTAATCTCTAATACATTATTCTTTGATAATATTATTATAATAATTTTACAACTATTCATATTAAATTTTTTGAAAAATTGATTTTATGTCTTTTCGTCATAGATGCTGCCAAAATTGATATTCCTGCTCTGGGCGGCAATTCCGATTGCATTGTCCCAGAGCAACTATGCGTCACAAGGTAACAGCATCGAGTATCAGCCGGGACTTCCGCCGAGCACAGTTCTCGACGGCAAAGTTACCAAATTGGATGACATCTCGCCGATTATATTTTTGAATCGAACGAAAGCCTATCTGAACTGCGGCCAGGGTAGCATGGAGGTCGAGCTCAAGTTTGAGGAACCGTTTTATGGAGTAGCCTATGCCGACTTTGATCGTAACAGTGCCTGCATATTCAAAGGACGAGGTGCGACGACCGCTAAATTGGAACTACCTCTGAAAGGTATGTCCCTATATTAAATTCGACATTTAATCTCGCGGTATAACATTTCATAGAAATGATGATAAAAAGGATGACTAAATTTATTATTTTGAGATATATTTTTTACAATAGAATTTTGTTTATCCGAGCTTATCGGGGAACAAAATAGTTTGGAATGATTCGAATAATAGAGAGAGAGATTCATCTTCCTTACCAATATTTATTAATTTTGATGATAAAAATTCAATTTAGAAAACTACGGTCGTATAATTCGGATAAAAGCTTAAATATGAGTTCATACATTTGGAACTAAGCACAAACTTATTCATATAAATAGAGTGTAGATAAACGAAATTCTACACATTATTTCTCAATTAAAAAAAGAATAGTAAATCATAAATACGCAATAGTAATATGATTGTTCTAGATTCAATTTATGTTAAATGATTTTAGCGTAATGTAACTTTCATTTAAGACAAATACATTAATATTCGACGATTTGAAACTGATTTAATTGTTTTACTTCTACAGCGTATTCTACAGAGTATTTTTTGTTTTGTCTGATTTATATATAATATAATCATCCTATTTGTTGCTTATTTAACTTGCTTGTTTAAAGTGATTTCATTTTTAGGAAACAAATTTATCTTCTTATCAAAATTGATATAATATTTCAGGATGTGGTACAAAACAGGATCCTCTGCGTGTGTTCACCAATAATGTAGTTGTCCGCTTTCATCCTGGATTAGAAATGGATGGAGACGAGGTTATCACTATAGTATGCAGATATCCTCCACCTGTGGCACCGGCGCCTCCTAAACCGCCAGAAAGCATGTAAGAATCCTATGTTGAAATTTTCTTTGTTAATATGCTCATCGCGAAAAATTTATTATCAAATATAGTTTTTTGTGAAAATTAATGATAAAATTTGTTGGAACATTTCTTTATCGAATATTACAATTGTTAATTTAGCAAATTACATGCATAAGTTATTTATATATTAATTTCATGCACTTCAAATAATTGTATTGAAGATATTATGATAAATAATATCGAATTTATCACGAAACGCGATCTCTTTTTAATATATTTTTTAGAAAATATTCAAGATAATTATTTTTTTATGTTATATTTCATCATAATTAATAATACAATTTGATAAAAAGAATGAATGTTAATAGATACATACATATATATTTAAAATAATTATAAAGTAATCTATTTATGATTAACATTTTCCAAATAATATTTTTTTTTGTTAAAAAATTCATTAATGACTATCATTATATTATTGACTTGACTGTTGTCATTAATTCAAATTTAATGCGTAAGGTGTTATTAACATTTAATGAAACTTTCTTTCCAATACCTAATCTTTTTGCGAAAAATGTGTTCAATATCGTTGAGTTTGCCTTCTCACTGCATCGAATGAACTGAATAAAAAAGTAATTTTGTATTCAGAATGTACTGTGATGCACGCCTTTGTCTTCCGTAATCTAATTACGCATACGGATAGGTATGAGATATACTCCGTGCACAGTTAACTGCGGCATCTAATATCGATGCCATTTGCAGCAGTCTCCTCATTTAGAGTCGCGTATATCCTGCTCTAATCTGATTTCCATCCGCAGAATGGCCACTCTGACGCCCGCGTCGGTGACCGAACCACCGCTGAAAGGCTTCCAGATCTTGTTGATTATCTGCGCTATTCTGTTCCTCTCATTGCTTCTACTCGGTCTTGGCTGTTCCTACATGTGTCTGAAACGACGAAATGTGCGTGTGGTCCATCGACATCCATTCGAAAGCGCCACTGGTTCTGAGATAACAAAACTCTCTGGCTCATCTCTGAGCAACATCACGATGTTCGAGGGTCTGAAGATACCACGAGCGCACGCTCTTCTTCACGCGACTGCCGCATCTACTTCCGGCAGCGAGGCAAATCTGGTGATCGATCATTCGGACACATTGCCAAGTGATTACCCAAGTGAAAGTCACTCTGAGGTGAGGCCCAATAATTGTCTAACAAGACAGATGATTGCACAGAATATATTAGAAAAAATATAAAAACACAAAATCCCTACTAACCCTTTTAACAGCGAACTATATATATATATAAAGTTTCTAATTTTCGTTGTTTCAATTAATCGCTATATAAATTATTTAAATTTATTTGAACAAATTGTACAAATTAGCAGAATTTGTTTGAGTATAAACTGTTTAATCTATTCATTGTTTAAATAAGGAAATGTCCATTTTATTATTATACACTGCAAATTTAATAGTGTACATTTTTTATTATTACACATCATTTTACAACATAAAAAAAGTTAAAAAAAGAGATCCCCCCCCAGTTAAAATTTTGATATTTTTCGCAATTTTTTGTAGTATTAATGTATTAGCATCATTATTAAATTAACGATTAATTTATATGATGTTATTTCTAGCTTTAGTTTATAGTTGCGTTTCAAGCCTGACAAACAGAATCAGCGCAGAGTTTATAGAACCAAAAAATGCAAATTTGCATATGAATATTATTCATAACACCAAGATTTTGCCTCGACCGAAAATGGAATTCTTTCTTTTATTTGATTTAATAAAAAAGACATCAATTCCTGAATAATCTCTTAGTTAAAAATATCAAATAAAAGAAAACAGTTGCATAATCGATATAATACATTATGATTTGTTTGTTTATCTGTTTTTATAGGTGGATGAGGAACGTTCGTTACCTGTATCCTCCGCTGGATCCTATGATAATAAGGCATTCATAGACCATCATGAGGTTCAACGTCAAGTGGAAATGCGTGCTTCAAGCTCCTTATATTCAGAGACAGTTGCTGCCGAAGTGGAAACTTCCTCCATGACAGCTGCGAATGCTTCAAGAATCATGGTACCGCGACATCCTGTAGCCGTTCCGATTGAACCCAAGTTCGACGTGCAGATGAGAGTTAAGAGAGCACCACCTCCGCCGCCGAGCCCGTTGCCATCAGAATCTGACGTTGCGAGTATTGCCCTCGAGAGAAATTTAACGACCATTTTGGAGAGAGAAGAGACTTCTCGCTCTCTCGAAAGTGCACCCTATCGAATGACTACTTTCTCCTACGTACCCGAGCTTCACAGACCACCACCAGGAGGCGTGTCACCTGTCTCGACTATCTCTCGGCAGCAGACGCCGCCAGTATACTCTAGGATTCTACGCAAACAAGCGGAGAGAGAGACCACCGTGATCCAAGAGAAACTCCCGTCGCCGACGACTGAACAACCGCCGTTGCACCACGAGATCCGTCGGCCGAGGTCTCTAACTTCCCTGAACACCGAGCTCACCGAGACTCGCTCGTTGACGGAAGTGACGGATGCCTCGCATGCCAAATACCGGGTAGCAAGCATTCTAGCGCCGACTCCACCGCCGCCGCCACCAATTGTACCTACCACGTCCACCACCACTACTCACACCGCCGTTCAGCATCGCGAGCACCGTTTGTTGCGCGAGGAGATGACCGAACCACTGGTCGAGCCGCAGGTAGTTGCGCCTCGCCGTCCAGAAATCACGACTCATGAAGTGGACGATGTGTTCCTACGTACCGTTACGGAGAAGAAGACGATCGAAGATGTGGAGCGTCACAGTCGCCAGATCACCGAGTATCGCGCCAGATCTCAACCGCCGCCGGATCTCAAGTGGGACGTCACCATCAGGAACTATCCGACGGAGAATTTACCGCCGCCACCGCCGGAATGGGAGAACTTCTCCGATGTTAGCTCGGCCTCCAACTTGACCATCACGAATGAGCCAACGAATCATCTGGCAGACGACGAACCGGATGTAAACATCGAACCGACTTATACCACGCGCGCTGAGATCCCATGCCGGCCACCACCTACGCGCCGATCCCTCGACGATGCCGATGCTGATTGGTACACTAGGTTGGCACGCGTCTTGGAGCCGCGTTACGCCACCGAGTTGACGGATGAGGAGCGTGCCAAATGGCGCGAAATCATCACGACGGAAAGCACGCTGCGGACTTTGTTAACCGAGGCAGTGGTTAAAGAAGATTACGAGCTGATACGCAAAGATGCGAGATACATTAATTTGTTCCCGCCAGCGAAGTGGGATGTGATCATCCGAATTTTAAGTCCGCCATCAATGCACACCGGCTCCACCTCGTCCTCCAGTCACGGCAAGAATCATGGGCAGAGATACAAGCGGTCCAAATCATCGGAATGGGACACTAGATCCAGACGTTCCTCCCTTCCTACCCTGTACGAATACGAGAGCGACGGGGGCAGCTCGGCGCGTACCCAGAGTCATCATCTACAAACATCGCAATCCGCCACGACCATGACCGGTGGACAGATCGCCGGTCGTCCACGTCGACTAGGCGGTTCTATTCGTTCGCGAGGAGCCGGAGTCGGTAGTGAAGCCGATTTGAGATCGATGTCCGAGATAACCGTCCGTGATTTCGCCCGGATGGACAGAGACGACCTGACCAGCTTGAGCTCCTTCGAAGGTGCGGACTCGCTGGTCAGATCGCTCAGTCAACCCAGCTTGGCCAGATCGGGTTCGGAATTCACCGAGCACTGGGGCATGCCTTCTGGTATTCTGCCACCATGGGCGTCCGAACACGCGGAGGATGGCGTCAGCTCCGTGGAAACAACGCCGAGAGCGATCAGAAGAGGTGACAGGATGGAGGTCCTCGCCTCCTTCGATGAGCACAGACGAGGTCCATCCATCACAAGATCGAGTCGATACACCGAAAGGGAGCTCAGCGTACGCGTGACAGAAAGTCAGAGGGCCTCGGATTGGTTTAATGACAACAATTCCGAGCCGGAGATGCAGATCTGAACACTTCCAAAATAGAACACAGAGAGATTCTCGGTTTTTACCTCAGAGGAGATGATTCCTGAATCTCGAAGGTCTGAATAGAATTATTAGGGATGAAAGTTGATAATCGAGTCAACACGTACCACTTGCAATTTATAAAATCAAATCTTGAGATCGTCTTTTCGTAATTCTTTGAAAAGTGAATCTTTTAATGTATAATAAAATCGGTTATTTGAACCGGTTGAGCTCAATTTTCAGCGCTATAAATAACGAAAACACGAATTCATATTAACATAATAATTTCGAAAAATTGACAATTTTTTAACAATCTCCTAATATTAAAATTTGAATTCCGAGCTTCAGCTTTTAAATTTAAAAATCTTTTTTCTATAAATTTTAAATATTTATCTCGTTTAATATTCGAATCAAAAAATTTGTGTTGTTCAAAAAATTAAAAGAACACCACAAACTTGAAAAAGATTCGTCGAGGGATCAGCAAAGTTTTTATTTTAATCCTTTGCAGCTTCATATTCTCTATTCTATTGCGAGCTATAATATAATGGATTATGATTTATACTGGCATCCGTTCGTATTTTTCTTGTAGGCACTATTTCGGTCAGTATCTACGTGACTCGCGCATTATGTGTATATGTGCCGCGTTTGTTTTGTTTGCAACAGTTTCAATTCGGGACGTCCTACTACATGATCGATATCTTGCCAAGAATGAGGCGCAATGCACAACACATAGCAGCGGCGACGGGATAACGTTCCGCAGTCGTCAGTGGAAAAATGCACTTTATTTGTAGTGACTAGCTCGCCGTTTCTTTCTTTCGTTCTTACTACGGTTATACAGCTGCTCTACTTTTTCATGGCTCATAGCCGTTCACTGCCGATTTCGTCCTCAGGCGATAACTCGAGGACTCACGCTCAATCGCGCGAATGCAGAATTGTCCCAATTTCGGGAATCCGTCTCTCTGACATTAAGATATTTCGCGATATTCCGAAACTCGGGGAATTCAGCCGCCATTCTCTTCACACGTCACTCGTAACGCGAGACATGAATCGTGCTAGTTACTCGGTCTCGAGATCAGCACGAGTGGGTCTGCAGATTCTGGCGAGAATACAATAAATACGTGGACAGTTTGCAGAAATTAAACCATTAAAACCTGTATTGTCACTTTTGTTTATATATATATATTGGTAGTTGTATTCAAATACGAGCAATTTTTGTAGTTTCGTGAATAGAATGTATTATTAGAGATTTCATGGCAAAATACATATCAAGAATATTACTTGAAAATTTTCAAAAGCGGGCTTCAATGGATTTAATCGGCAAACATGTTCACAGGGGACTAATGCAAGAAAAAAATTACAGGATGGGAAAAACAATAAATATAGTGTAATCGTATATGAGAGGACATATCGCCTGCGCGATGCTGTTCTTCAGTTTTCAAACGTTCGATAGATCAGTAGATCTCTTTTGAAGATCGCAGGGAACAATATATAGCTCTCACGACTATAACACCCCCGTTTTGCGATACAACTGCGATAATAGTCTACTTAAATAGGTAACGAAATACGGTGCTGGGTTATACGCTTCAAACGATAGCTAGAAAAGCTCTCTTCGAGAACATTTACCTAACCTCGTCCTCGCTCCTTCTCACCCCTCAAACATCCCTTCCAATTTAATGTAGGTATTTCGTCTGGAATACCGAGATACGTATCGACCGACAGGGTACGTAGATAGGTATATTTGCAATTATGTACTTTTATGATATTAATGTATATTCATATGTCGTGTGTAATTTTCTCCACGCTATCCTCATGCAATCATTAGAAGCTTATGAAATCTTCCGAATCCTTGAGCTGCAAGACGAGAGGGAGGGAGAGAGAGAGAGAGAGAGAGAGAGAGAGAGAGAGAGAGAGAAAGAGAGAGAGAGAGAGAGAGAGAGAGAAAAATTTGGAGCTTGCAGGTTCCATTAATATATCACAGCGTGATTACAGTTCTCGTAATAATACGTAAATCGCTTCGAAATTTCCTAGCTCGTTTGCCTCGGCGATCATCATTTCCGAAACATTACCACCAAGCAATCATATTACCCTTCGCTTTGCTTATTAAAATTATCAAATGCCAATCATAAGCGAATGCTTATTAAAATTATCAGACGCCAATCATGAGCGAGGAAGATTGGAACGTCAAACTTCGAGCTTATCTTTAGAGAGATATTTGCGCAAATGTTTAATGCAGTAATATGTATCGCAAATAGCAGTATCTATTCATATAGTCTCTTGTGGTATTCTCAAAATTCTCGATAGAGATCGTTTGTATTATTTTCAGGAAATGAACGACGATTACAACAACTGTAGATTGCGTTATAATTTATACACGTTATAACGTTTAATTGTAATGCAAAATTAATACTATACTAGTGGCAAAACAATTGATACTACTTGCTATTCATACACAATTCAATGCGATCGACACATGAATAAAGAGCACGTTTTGCATATTCGATAGTTGAAGCTCGAAGCAATTGTTTGGTGACGAAATCCGTCCAAGATCAAAGGAATCGATATTACATGCATGATATTACATTAAGCGCGTGATTTTCTACGAATTTTCTAGAGCGTTATATACGTAAAGAAAACAATCACATTGTAGGCGCTTTTTTTTTATATGTACATGTAACTGTAAATCAAAATCGATAATAAAGTTTGCATATTTTGAACGTCGAAAGGAATACCGAGACCGGCGTTAAGCGCACATGTAGAACGATGAATAAAACATAAAGTGCGCATGAAAAGAATATTAAGCGCGGATAATGAAGTAATAAATCATATCGAGAAATTACATATAACAAGTGTTATCAACATCAAAGTTTTTATCTCGATGTCTCTCGATTACATCGAGTTTTCAGGATGTCCTCTAACAAAGAATCGCTGTCGCGAGCAGAATTCGATGTCGAAGAAAAGAGAAAGGCTGTCTGAGATAAGAGAAATTAATGAAATCGCTTGTATTTAACTTACGGAAATACGGGAGTAGTTAACGTGAAATGGGAGTGTTAAAGCGACGCGTTGAAAGCTTTTATCGGATGGAATAGCGCGCTATATTGTTAGAAATTAACGTAACTGATAACTCCTATATAGATGCCTCTTATCTATATATATTTTTATATCGAATTTTGTAATGGATCATCCGATCGTTCTCGACGCGGATGTGCCTGTGTAATATTTCAGCCGAGAGTTTGCGGAAGTGCGAGTGAAATAAGTGCTACTAGAACTGGGACGTAATGAAATGGAATCAGATTGAAGCAAAACAGAGGGAATTGCCTAGCGAAGGACGATGATACATTCGTTGTCACTGATCGATAAGCGGAGGATATACAAGTTCGAACTAAACTCCTAAATTATAATTCCTAATAAATATTGACAGTCCACGAACCGCATTTGTTTGAATGCATTGTAAATCATGTAACCCTCGTCGCTTCATATTACTCTGTGGGAAATTAATTTACAGGGTTCGACATGTTTTGTCGAAGTTATGATAAAATGATGCAAGTTCAATCAGGTCCGCGCGAATAAATGGAAAATGTAATACGATCTTTGAGCAAGTTCGGAGAGCATGGCTATTAATAAAATTGATTACTAAAAAAAAGGTTTGTTTTCTTTTATTGTCGAATAAACTCTGACAGTGTCATTTTTCACTTTACCAGAAAAATCCAGTGTATCTGTACAAAGCATCGTCTTGTTTGCGAAAGGGATTATTGTTCCAATTTCAGAAGAGCACTTTCTTCAGCGATATATGCATTATAATTTTACTTAAGCAATATTAAATAAACTCACACGGCTGGATTATGCGGAAAATCATAAAGTCTAAATGTGGAAAATCATAAAGTAATCTAAATTTCAATTTCAATGAATGTACGTAAAATGTAAAATGTAATATAAATAAAAACAGGAAATGTGTAGTTTTTAATTAAAATTGAATGTATTCGATACATGAAAAATTGAACTTATTCAATACATTTTTAAAATACATATACGCTCATGTAAAATTCCCGCAATGCTATTCATCATTTCATCTCAGAGAAAAGGAAATAGCGTGAAATAAGTAAAAGGTAAGGAATAGCATGCGGAAAGAGATGTCAATACGAGAGAGACGCAGAATCTTTCACGATAATCAGAATGCATCGCTCTCAAGAACTCATCCTGGTTGCTCGACTGGAACAATCGAGGGAGACGTCTAAATTAATTATAGACTGAGGAAAGAATTCCGCAAAGAGGATCGCAGCTGATTCATCAAGATCGACAGCTGCAGCCTCGGGCGATCAAGGCGAATGATCTTGAGGTCACATTGAAAGAAAATGACAAAGAGAGAGAGAGAGAGAGAGAGAGAGAGAGAGAGAGAGAGGGGGGGGGGAGAAAGAAGGGGGAAGGGGAAGGAGATAGATCACATGAGGGAATCTCTATATTGCTTCGTGATGTCTTCCTTGATCGATCCATCAGAAAAAGACACGACGAGGCGCGATGGTCTCCACCCAACTTGGTCTCGCACTGACTCGTGACGATATATGCTCTTGTTTTTCCGAAAACAAGTTCGCTTGTCCGAGAATCGAGTACGTACGTACTTTCCTTCTTCGACCATGCGGGGCGGATCGACGCATGCGTTTTTCTCGCGCGCTCATGTACCCTTCGCGGGATTATCTTGGCCGTGAATCGAGCAGTCTTCCACGGTCGTTCCCGAGCTTGCTCCCGATCCGCGGGGGTGCGCGTTTTTCCTCCTCGAGAGGATCGCGCGACGAGCCTCACTCGAGACACTCGAGGACAGCGGTGGCGTCGCTGAAAGTTGCGGTGTCACATACATATAATATATACCTATATATAAATACATCGATAATGAAATGATTCCGGAAGAGGTTGGCGCGACACCAACGTATCCGTGGGACACGTGCCGCTTAAAGGTAAGCGAGAAATCACGATGAGACAATGTTAAATGTTATTCCTTCACGAAGTCATGAGTCATCGTATTAATATTATATCAGTCTGATTTCAAACGCTGTTTAATTGATCGAAAATTCAAACACGTTACGAAACGTGTAGCGCGTTCACAAATCGCACGAGCGCGATTTCTATCTGTCACTTCGTTGTATCCGAATTATTGTTAAAATAATTCGACACAATGACCACCTTCTCGTCGTGTTGCAAACTAGTTTATTCAAAGTGTATGTACTCGTTGCGAGACGATTTTACCGTCGCGCGACACTGGTGCCGCGTCTGAACTATTTAAAAGGATGTAGAATAGATGTTCAAAGCGCATGCATGTTAATTACAACTTATATGAGGTATATCCCATACAAGGAAACTCGCTTGCAACACCGAGTTTCACAGCGACGAGTAATTACATTCAAAGTTATCCCGTGATTAATGAACTATAATTACCCACAAAGCGTGTTAAATAAATTTTTTTAACGAGTAGTTCAAACCAATGTTTCCAGATTTGACAAAATGTTCATTAGATCTTATATTCCTACAGAATTACTTTCGTATTAAGCTGGAGCAAAATGCGGATTGCAATCAGGCCGCACCGTTAACGATTATCTTTATAACGCGTACGTGAGGCGTGCAAAAACTAAGTTTAACGATCAATAACAGCTTAACACGAACAGCTACAATGTCTCGTGTCGAAGCTATAGTGTATAAAAATTTTAATATTAATTAAACTTTATGACATTTTGCATATTTAAATCAAAAGTTTCAATTAATTACCATCGTCAGTGAAGTGACGATCACAGATAATCAATCTATTTTTACGTAACGCCAATTAAAATTCATTTAGACAGTCAACACACAATTTAATTAGCAAGACGTTTATCATCGAGTGTTGCAAGGTCGTAGCGAAATGAATGTAATGGATCAATTTGGAAATCTTCACCGAGAAACGAATCAATCTGCAAATTTGACGTATCAATTATCTATTCATCAATCATCTAATTTATTCTAATAAATTTCGCAGTTCCAATCATCGCGAGGTCCGCGATATCCCGCGTATTTCTGCAGGGCTTTAATTAAACATATTATTCCACATTCACGAAAGAATAAATAGCGACAAATAATTAAAAAAAAAAAAAAATCGTTTCTTGGCGCAAACTTGTGACTCTTGCGAGAATCCCCAGATACGTGAGCTCGTGCATAACTGACGCGCTGTAAGGGCTGGTGCACGATTACTTCGTTTAAAGAGTAGGCAATCGTTCACGCACGGGTAACTTCACGACGCATAGATACTACGTGCTGAAACACGAAAGATCTTGCGAATAAATTTCCAAGTTACGTTCACGACTCGCGTCGCGCTGTTTATGCGAGTCCGACACTGGCTTCAAATGACTGCGGACGAAGAATAACTTTGTGATAATTTGTGAGATTAAATCTGTTATAATCTCAACTCTCTTCCCTCTGTCGCGACGGAGAAATTTCTCTTATTTCAAATATTTGAAATTGATATTTATCACGTAAGTGGGAAAACGCAATAAGAATCTTCTTTCGGTCCGAATAATTTTGGCAGAGATTGCTTCCAATGTTAATATAAAATGCAACGTAAAAATTCTCTTCTCGACATCAATAATTTCAATAGAAAACGTGAATGTAATGCTAGTATATTAATATCAACGAAGTGCCTGATCATTTTCTTTTAGATCCAATAATAAGGTGGCCATCTGTCTTTTATTCTGTTATTATCTACCGTCAAAGAAAAGAGTGCGGTGCGACAAAGAAGTTGTGGAAAATCTAATAATTTCAACAGCTACGATCTTTATCATTAGATATTCCCTTTCAAAAAGGAACAAGTGAGACGCACGGAAGATTCTCATTTCAGTGACAATAATCGCAATACGGAGTGGGACAGCGTTCGCAGCATCCACTCTATCTGTGACGGCCGTTAATTGACTCGGTGAGGCGCGAGCGATAGTTTAATAGCCGCGCATTCGCGCGCGAATAGAGGATACTACGGTGAGAAGAGACAAAGGGAGAAGAGAATATCTACAAGGGATGACGACACCTCTACGTGGGGTGCCCAGAAACGATAGTGGGGCTAGATGGTGAGCAAAGCGGCAACGGACGACGCGAGTTATGGTGGCGAACGACGCTGGTGGATGGTGGGGTTGAAAAGCGGCGCGGCCAGTTACGGTCGTACGGGATAAGCTCGTCGTGCACCTGCGATCAGTCGAGAGAGCGCGGAAAGTAGATTCGACGAGGATATCGGAACGGTCGCATCGGAGAACCGGAAGAATTCCGCCGAGACGATGGCGCCGCTCTTAATGAGATATCGTGAAGAGATCGAACGCGAATACGGGGATACGACTGGCCGAGATAAACGATATCCTTCTCCGTGACAGACGGAGAGAATTCGATTAACGAACTAATCTCTTTCGAGGAAGTTCCGCGGAGACACTCCCGTAAGAAACGAAGAAAGATCGTCCGTTTATGCGTGACAGAGAACGGATAGTCCCTTTAAATGAAAAGTTTCGGAGTCTTGCGTGTAATTGAGAGAGATCCATGCTTATCCCATAAATGTTCGTTGGAAAAACTCGAACTGAGATGCTGCCGTCTTCGCTGAGCGAAGTCGTTGAAGATCCTTGCCATGAAGAATCGGATTTAGCGAGGATAAATTTCCTCGTGGGAAGAGATTACGCCAGTTGAATGGAGAGTCTTCTCATTGTAAAAGGGACACACGACTGTTCAGTGGTAAATTTCCGCTAATCGCGAACGTGAAAATCACAAGGATACGTGATACTGTTAACCGTAAAGCATAGGACGTCTCTCCAATTCATCCGACGATTAAAAAACATGAAGAACGGTCGCGTAACTGGATCGTGAACAACGTTTGCGTTATAGAGTGATATCGAAAATGAGTTCTCTACGACGGACGATCAATCAATCGATGAGGGAGGGCACGTCCACGCGAAGACATGCGTTATCCGGACCCACTACGAAGAGCATGAAAAACGTCGCTCATACAAACGCGGTGCCTGCTTCACCAATGCGATACAGGACCAAGTACGAGTTGCGAAGTATCAGTTTGGAGGGCAACAAGGTGCTACCATGGACTACAAGGTAAGGAAAAGTTCGTTTACCAATTTTCTTAAATATACGAAAGAAGACTGTTTTGCCGAAGTATCTAAAAATTTATTATAATTAGATACATACAGATTTGAAAATAATTTTGTTAGATTATTAAAATAAAATACCTTGTTAGACTATAAAAATAATGTAGAACACTTAAATGTTGATGACAATGCGCTGTAAAATTTTAATATTTTAGAAATCAATTATAAAGCGTCTTATATATCTATTTTTGATGATTCTAACAAAATTGTTTTTAAATCTGTACAGCTAAATTTTTAGATACTTTATTAAACTGTGTAGCGAACATTTCTTGCATATTTAGGCATATTTTTTAACTGTATCAAGCCTGCATCTAATGCGAATATCACAAATGAAATTATTTATTTTTGTCTCTGGTTTTGCTGCTTTTATAAATTAATATTAGTAACAATAATGCGCGTAATTAAATATTAATAATTATATCATAAAATAGATTACATTTTCTCTCAAAGAATTATATATGTAGAAATTAAATATTTATTTTGTATTAAATAACATATAAAATAAGTATATATAATATTAAAAGTTTTTTTTTAACGTATAATAATTTGTACGATCAAGTGGAAAATAAGTTGTTGCTCTTAATAAACTTTATCCGTGAATTATTCAAGAGTGAAAAAATAGCTTGCGACGAAGAAAAACTTCGGAGAATAAGAGATTGAAACTTTCAGTCTTAATCCCAAGAACTGGTTCGAACTGGCTAGTCGACTATACGGCATGAGTTCGCAGGAGCATGTGTATCGTATAATAGTCTCTTCAACGAAATCAATTTTGTGTACTTCACCTTGAGTTGCCTTGTATTTGGAACAGATACTACCGATTTGAGAATTTAATGGTTCTGAGATTAGGGCATTAAAGACAGCACCAAGCCAGAAGCAAACCAATCAATTCAGTATAAAGCCGAACAATCGCGGTCCTTGCAATTGGTTTACTACGATCGCTGCTGTCGCTTGTTGATATTGATTGATGAGCAAGAAGATTTCGATCCCCAGTGAACGATATACATAAGTCCGCTTCCGCTTAATTATTTAATCGTAGAGACAAATTTCCGAGTCCTCCGTTCTAGAATTGCAAATCTCAAATGAATTGTTGATCATCGAAGTTACATTAAACATTAAAATTATAACTTTACTCGAGAATATGAAATTTATATATATTGCAACTTTTATTACATCATATTCTCGCCATTAAAACAACATTTTTAGGGATATTATTCTTATCGTGTTATTCTTAGAAATTTAGGATTAAGAAAATAATATTAATTATACCGTAACTATCAAATGAATTTCTTATTTGTCTTAATCGAAAAGATGCTTTCGTTAGATTTTTAAATTTTGTTTGGATTACTTTATTTAATTACTTACATATTAAACTTAACATAATCGATATGATGTGAATAAAAATTTGCAGAATATTCGAATGACGTAGGTATGTTCAAGAGTGTCCCAATCATAATATTATTGCTCCGCTAAGAAATTCTTCCGATTTATCTTTTCTCATAATATGAACGTATACATTGTCAGTGGCTGGAGTTTGCTTGGAAATTCAATAGAGTTGTAATTATCGATAATAATATATGCACGATATTACGTTTTATTTCGCTAAAAAATTACACGATACATCGTACATTTCTACTGTGCTCAACTTTTGCGAGCAATGTTGACTGTTTTTGTTCCCAAAACGTCATTGCGCATTCGTGCAATAATACTATTTTGATAAACAATGTCCCGAAAGGAATTCAGCGGGAACTTTTAATTAGTGAGCATTCAAGCGAGTGATGACTTTAAAACTTAATTAGTTTCGTAATCTCGATTGATCGAATGGAACGTTAACCGTGCTTCTTAATTAATTGAGCCAAAGTTAACCGATCGTGCGAATGCCATCAATGCGCGATAAAACCGACTGCGATAATCGGCAATGAACGCGCAGATTGCAGTATGCAAAATCCGGGGCGGATGCCGGACGCTCTTTAATCTCCCGGATGACGTATATAAATCCGCGATACAACGCGTATTAAACGGTTACGAATGCAAGCTCATAATGCCGTACGATTTACGAGCAACTGGTTGAAAATAATTTGAAGGGGTTTTACATCTTGGAGAGAGAGAGAGAGAGAGAGAGAGAGAGAGAGAGAGAGAGAGAGAGAGAGAGAGAGAGAGA